GGGAGGCCAAGGCAGGTGGATCACGAGGTCAAGAGATCGAGACCATCCTGGTCAACATGGTGAAACCCCGTCTCTACTAAAAATACAAAAAATTAGCTGGGCATGGTGGCAGGTGCCTGTAATCCCAGCTACTCAGGAGGCTGAGGCAGGAGAATTGCCTGAACCCAGGAGACGGAGGTTGCAGTGAGCCGAGATCGCACCATTGCACTCCAGCCTGGGTAACAAGAGCGAAACTCAGTCTCAAAAAAAAAAAAAAAATGCATAAGTTTTCTGCATAGATTTTTCATTCTATCCACTTTGCTAAACATTCTTAGTAATCCTAACAGTAGTACTACTCTTGTGGATTTTCTAGGTACACAGTTATATTATCTGCAAATAATGCAAGTTTTCTTTATTTCTGATTCTAATTGTATTATTTCTTTGTTTTATCTTATTTATACTGGCAAAGGCCTTTGGTACAATGCTGAATATAAAAGGTGACGGCAAGCATTTACCGCATCTGTTTTCAAAATCACTGGTCCTGACTTAAAATTATCCTAACTTTTGATCATCGTCATCAAGAATAATGATTGTTTAGATTTTTAGTAAATACAGTTGGTCTCGTACTCAAAGTTCACTAAGAAGTTTCATCATAAGTGGGTGCTGAATTGTATCAAATGAATTCTATGCACATATTAAAGTGATCTTTCAATCTTTTAACATGATAAATGTTAACAGCATTCTAATGTTAAATAATATAATCAGCATTCTAATGTTAAACCACCCTTGCATTCTTTGGGATAAACCCAACTTGGTCATGGTGTATTTTTTTTTTTCTAAACTGTTGGATTTGGTTTGCTAATATTTTTTCTAGGATTCCTATAGGCACACAAGTGAATAATATGGCCTTGTGTTTTCCCTTTTTTTTTTTCTTTCTTGTACTATATTTATGACTTTATTATCAAGATTATTTGCCTTATAGAACAAGTTAGGAAATAATTCTTCTATTTCCTGGGAGAGTTTATGTAAAATTATCATGATTTCTTCCTACAATATTTCACTGAACTCATCTGTAACATTGTCTGGGCTTTGTAATTTCATGGGAAGTTTTAAATCACTGACTCAATTTCATAATTGGTTATAAGATATCTCTGTTTTTTGTACTGGTAAGTTATGTGATTTAGAAAATGATCCATTTCATCTATATTTTTAAGTTATTTTAAAACCCTTTGTGTTTCCGGTCTCTGCCGTCCCTATGATTATGTACACCTTCGAGTTCCGGTCTCTGCCGTCCCTATGATTATGTACACCTTCGAGTTCCGGTCTCTGCCGTCCCTATGATTATGTACACCTTCGAGTTCCGGTCTCTGCCGTCCCTATGATTATGTACACCTTCGAGTTCCGGTCTCTGCCGTCCCTATGATTATGTACACCTTCGAGTTCCGGTCTCTGCCGTCCCTATGATTATGTACACCTTCGAGTTCCGGTCTCTGCCGTCCCTATGATTATGTACACCTTCGAGTTCCGGTCTCTGCCATCCCTATGATTATGTACACCTTTGAGTTCCCAATGCAGTCTATTTTTGCCTTCTATACCTTTTACTTGGCCAGGCTGATCAGAGATTTGTCTATTTTACTAGACTTTTCAAAAAACAACTTTTGACTTTATTGATCCTCATTTTGGTTGACTTGTTTTATATTTTATTAACTTATACAGTGATCTTTATTGCCTATTTCCCATGAATTAATTCTGTTGTTCATTTATTTATTTATTTATTTTTTTGAGACGGAGTTTCACTCTTGTTACCCAGGCTGGAGTGCAATGGAGCGATCTTGGCTCACCGCAACCTCCGCCTCCTGGGTTCAGGCAATTCTCCTGCCTCAGCCTCCTGAGTAGCTGGGACTACAGGCACGCGCCACCATGCCCAGCTAATTTTTTGTATCTTTAGTAGAGACGGGGTTTCACCATGTTGACCAGGATGGTCTCGATCTCTTGACCTCATGATCCACCCGCCTCGGCCTCCCAAAGTGCTGGGATTACAGGCATGAGCCAGATTTTCTAATGTCTTAAGTTGAATATTCTAAACATTAATGTTCAGACTTTCTTCTTTTCTAATATATGCATTTAGGTGTATTTTTCTTACTTTCTCTATGCCCTTTAATTTTGATATTTAGAATTTCGATATTATTCAGTCCTAAGTATTACTGAATTTCCGTTATGGTTTCTTCTTTGGCATTTAGAGGTGTGGGCACATACCACAAAATGTAGCAATTTTTAAGTATATTTTTTCTTATTGTTTTCTTTCCTGTGCATGCAAAGCTCAGGATTATATCAGTTCATACACAGAATCTGGAAATCCTCTTCTCCAGTTCTCTCCTCTGTGAGATCCACCCCTCCTGCTGGTCGACCCCTACTTTCAGCTCCCAGGTCCCCTTTTCTGATACTTATTTCTCTAAAGCCAAGACTTGCCCAGCATTTCAGCCACCTGGGCTGCTGCATGGTTTTACACAGTTGGGGCCACTCTCAGGATAAAGCAGGGAGAGGAAGGAGGAAAATGCAGCCACAGACTCTGGTCCCTGGAATTCCCATTTCCCAATGCTCAGTCCACAAAGACAGGCTCACTCTCAGAATTTTTGGTGCCTGTGTCACCGCTGCACTGCAGAGCAGCTGAGGACAAAGGCTGCACTCAGAGCTGGTGGGGAAGTTCTCACACTCAACGGGGATTCCCACTCCTGTCTCTGACTCAGCAGCACCTTTTCCTGGTACTCTGGTTAGAAAGACAGGGTTTCTCTCGAAGATTTTCTTGCTGGCACTTGTTCTGCATTGGGGCCATGCTCAAGTTAAAGCCAAAAGATAAAAGAGGAAGGGAGAAAATGTGATCCCTGATTTATTCTTTAAGTTTTGGCTCCCCTCTCCAGTCACCCTGCTACTGTGAACTGTCTAGAGTCTTCAGATGGTTTCATTTTGTACATTGTCCAGAGGTCTCAGCTATGCTCGGTGGGAAGGAACAGCTGCGTTTACTCCCTCTTCACCAGCACTGAAAGGCCCACCATTTGCTTTTCATTGAACTCAGGTTTGATTCAAATTATGAATTTTGTACTTTCTCAGCACTGTGTTATATTTTAGCTGAGGGTCCTTCATATGCAGACAGACGTGACGCTCCCACTTTCTTTCCTAAAGATTCACAAGACATCTTTTTATTTAATATTAACAATACATTTCAGAAATGGCCAATGAACAATATTAAGCTGTTTCTGTATAATTCTGTATAGCTCTGTATAGGAACTATACAGAAAGAGCTTAATATTGTTCATTGGCCATGTCTTTCTACTTAGCCGTAAGTACTTATTGGGAACCCCCAATGTTGAAGCACCGTGCTAAATGCTAAGGACTGTGGAAATAAGACAAATAGACCCTCAAGGCATTCACAATTCAACAAGGAAAACAGACACATATGACTGCTGTAAAACACTCTGCATTCAGCATAAAGCAGCTGCCTAATATTTACTGTTGGTCCTAAACACTGACTGGCCGGCCACGCTCTGAATGAATGGACATGGGGCCACAGTATGATGTTCATGAGTCCCTGGTGATCTTGCCTTTGTAAGCCTCTTGCTCCATTATCAAAAATCGTTAAGCTATATATTACAACTGTATTGGTATAAAAATGAATATATTAACATTGTTTCCATCTAAAAGTTTTTTTCTGATTTTAAAAGAGTTAAAACATTTTCATGGGGCTCTAAAAGTATCATAGGCTGTAGACAGCATGCCTTTTTGTCTAATGGAGAAGTCAGCCCTGGATTAATGACTGAATGAATGTTTCCATTTCCTGAGAATTTTTATAAGAGAGTTCTTTGGCCTCGAAAAAAATACACATGTCATTTCTCATATCTTATGCCACACGTGTTGCCTAGTTTCATTTTCCAAGGAGGTGGCTAGACTTTTCCTCATTCTGCCATTTCGTATTTAAAAGAAAGTTACTTCTGACTCCAGGGCTGCTGGTAGCTCACATGGTGCTTTTGTGCAAATTACAAAAAGGCTTCTCATCTTTAAGAAGGGGGAAAAGTGGCCAGTCGCGGTGACTCACGCCTGTAACCACACCAGCATTTTGAGAGGCCAAGGCAGGCAAACTGCCTGAGCTCAGGAGTTCGCAACCAGCCTGGGCAACGCGACTAAATCCCTTCTGTGTAAATCTTCTACTAACATACCAAAAAAAATAAAAAAAAATAGGTGTGGCAGCGTGTGCCTCTAGTCCCAGCTACTCAGGAGGCTGAGGAAGAAGAATTGCTTGAACCCGAGAGGCAGAGGTTGCAGTGAGCCAAGACTGCACCACTGCACTATATATAGCCTGGGCGACAGAGGGAGACTCCATCTCAAAAAAAAGAAGGGGGAAAACTTTTAAAGTAGTTATGACTGCATAATCTGAGCAACTATGACCACTGGGCTTAAGAAAAGTGCAAACCCAGGTGGTGGGTAACCCTTCCAGCCTCATTCATGGCCTGTGTGTTAATGGCAGGTGGAAGGGTAACTGATCTGTGGCCTCTAGCTTAAAAGCAGCCTAAGTGTAGTTCCTTATGTGGAATTTCATTCCAAGTCTGTGGCCAAAGAGCTCAAATCCCATTAGGACCCAGACTACCCCTCCAAGAGCAGTAGGAGGCCAGAGTCATGACTTCAAGGTTCTCCCAGGGGAAAGAGTGAACAAGACATAGCCACACACACCTGAGCACTTGTGTGCATTTGCACATTTGATTTCCTTTGTGTGTGCATGACCAAGCAGGTAAATGTGGCTTGATGTGAGCCAGGACTCTCTCACTGTTCTCCAGGACTCCACTGAGAGGCCTGGAATCTCCACGGCACATTAGCACGTGTCTACAACGTGAATGATACCCACTAAGTTCTGGCATCGTATGCAGGTCAGTCTCAACAGCCGCGTGCAGTGCTCCTTCCCGCTCAGGGTCTCCTCGGCCACGGAGAGCCCATGCTCACGTATGCTAAAACCTCCATTCTTCTCTCTGCAGGGATGACGTGCCAGGCTCGAAGCTCCTACATCACCAGTGAGATCCTGTGGGGTTACCGCTTCACACCTGTCCTGACACTGGAGGATGGGTTCTACGAAGTTGACTACAACAGCTTCCATGAGACCTATGAGACCAGCACCCCATCCCTTAGTGCCAAAGAGCTGGCCGAGTTAGCCAGCAGGGCGGAGCTGCCCCTGAGTTGGTCTGTATCCAGCAAACTCAACCAGCATGCAGAACTGGAGACGGAAGAGGAAGAAAAGAACCTCGAAGAGCAAACGGAAAGAAATGGTGATGTGGCAAACCTGGAGAACGAGTCCAAAGTCTAGCGCCCCGGCTGCGCAGCCCCTTCTCTCCCCTGACACCATCTTTCCCTGTCTCTCATCCTCTTTCTTTTCTGTCTCTCTTGCTTTGTTCTTTATTTGTTCATATTTAGTTTTTACATTACCAGAAAACAAATCTTCAAGGTGTAAAATATCTACCTGCCCTCTCTCAGTTATTTAGATTGCCAAGGTAGACGTGGATTTGGTGAAAAGTGCAAAGTGCCCTCATTTGTGGCTCAAGCCTGGTCTCCTCCCAAAATACTACACATCCAACTCCTGGGGATTTCAGTTGCTTACCTGCATGTGTTGTACAATACCAGATCACTCAAAAGGGTGTGTCAGAGATTTTACCTGGGATATGACAAGTAAGGATTCCGGTGCCTATTTATTCATTCAGTGAGACACAGAGTGGAGCCCTCAGTTTTATAGATCCCAATTCATTTCATCTACCACAGGGTGAGGTGCTTGCCCCGTGTGGGCGTGGCAGTTACAGGGCCCAGGTGAGCTGAAGATAAACCACTGTACATATACATGCCTTATGTAATTATTTTCTTTTTTCAGTTAGTAATAAAACCCAGCATGTACAAAAGTACCGTAGAACAGAACTTCTAAATACTGTACATAGATGTATCACTAATGTAGGTTTAGATATATAACTTTAGAAATAAGAAGCAAAAAAAAAAAAAAAAAAGGAAGAAAGATTCCTAACATCAGTAGACATTTCTGTTTTGATGTCAGTGTTTTCTGGGTTATTTTGATCCCATTGACGGCTGGCCCTTCCGTGCATGGCCTTTGTTTGTATCTCAGACTGGCAGCCGTTAGGGCACCTCACTGTTCCCACACTGATCCTTTCACTGAATCTAATAAGCCATAGGTCTGGGGGAAATTGAGAGGTCTGGTAGATGGCAAAACCCACCACCACTAAGCTGATATACTGTGTAGTGTTACAAAACAAATGTCTTTTTCTTTTTTTTTTAAGACAACAAGGGCCTCACTAACTGGCCTGGAGCAGGGAGAGTACCAGGAAGGGGACATTCTCTCCCGTGAGACCAAGGGTATGTTTTTACTTTTCACATGCGCTCTCACCCTTTGTCGTACAATAATTTAGAAACTTTTCTGAAAAATCATGGATTCTCCAGCTGTAGTTTCTCTACAGACTGTTCCAATGAGACATGGGAAGTTAGCAGAAGATGGTTTGGGTCTAAAGCCATGAAGCTCATGAAGGCCCTTAGTGAGTGACATGCATTAAAATCACTGACCTCTCACACGTTTTTGACTCCATCTGGTGTTCTGAGGATGATATCTCACCTGTCCCTGGGGCTTATCCATCAACATTTCTTGCATCGTGATCTTTTTTTTTTTTAATTTTTTTATTATTTTAAAATGACCAGAGTGCAGTATGCAAAGATTAGATCGACAATCTTGCTGATTGTCTAAGAAATGCCTCTAGAGAATGCACAGGTTAGAAATCAGATCCAAAGTGTCTCTCAATCAAAAGAAAACAAACACAAAACTACAGCTTAATTCATTTTAATCTGCCAAAAGGGAGGAAGGGAGGAAGGGAGGAAGGGAGGAAGGGAGGAAGGGAGGAAGGAAGGAAGGAAGGAAGGAAGGAAGGAAGGAAGGAAGGAAGGAAGGAAGGAAGGAAGGAAGGAAGGAAGGAAGGGAGGAAAGGAGGGAGGGAGGGAGGGAGGGAGGAGGGAAGGAAGGAGGGAGGGAGGGAGGGAGGGAGGGAGGGAGGGAGGGAAGGGTATTTGTACTGGAAATCTAAATTTTAAAATGAAAAAATAAGAGAAAGAATCTTCTATGAAGCCTCCGGGCAGGTGGAGATTTTGCACTGTAACAGATCTTTCACATTAATTCTGCATTTATAAGCTGTTTGTTCTTTAACACAGTTGCCCATCATAAATATGCATTGAATGGATCCAAGTTTATTTTCAGCTCCTACAGCTGTGCTCAGTTTGAGGCTCTGCACCATGGAGGTTAAAGAGATCAAACTAGCTGTCCGTCTTTGTTTCCCTTGCCTTCCCTGACCCGAATGCACAGGTCTTTGCTGTAGCCTGGGGACCTGGTCTACTAAATAAGAAGTCCCAGGGTAAGGAAAGCGGGTCCTAAATAGAACTTTGGGGTCTCCCTTCTCCCGTCTCAGAGACCTTGGATTAGGACAACTGCCTGTTGGCACTGACTTTAAGGAAAACAAAACTGTTGGCCATAGCCCCTTCCTGTTTGCCAGCATTTCCTTTTTTTGCATTGAATCTCTGTTGAATCTTTTCTTTATTTCACACACTCTAAGAAGGAGGTGGTGGTCCAGCAGGAGGAAGCTCGATCTCCCCTCGAGGCTGCGGGGACGTACCTTGGCCTGACCTCGCTGCAGCCTTACCAAGGGCACTCTTGGCTTGGGGAGCTCCCCTGCAGCCTTGCCAGGGTTGCAGGGCAGGCCATGGGTGGCACAAAGCAAGATGGAGTAAGGGCTGCAAAATGTCTTCTAATTTAGCTCTTGAAGATTCACCGGGCCTTTTTAATTCCACTGCTGAGGTTTAAAGGACAGCACGCATCCTGGTGTCTGGTTGGAAGAGCAGCTCAGGGTCTGATCCCTCCTTGCCTGCCCTTTAGCACAACTGAACGAAGAGCCTTGACACGTTGGCCACATACACACGTCAGTTCTGTGTCTGTGACGGGCACCCGGATGTGAGGTCTCTCCCTGTTTCTCACTGTCTTTGGTGTCGATGTAGTTGGAGACAGAACTTGAACCAAATCTTGTTTTTGTAATGTGAGCCTCTGAATCTTTAAATGAGGATGCTCCTGAAGAACCTTTTACTAGAACGTCCCTACCAAACATGTCTATTTTTCTACAGTTGTTGATAACACGGTTTAACGGTGTATTTTGTGTCAACTGTTAAAATTCGGAACTGAAAGTTCATTGAGACTGATTTTCTAAGCAGCAAGTCATGAGTGAATGGTGTTTTCCATTAAGACAGTTCAACAAACTGACCCCACAATTTCCACTCATTCTATTCCACAATATCCAGTCCTCGTCCCCTCAGTCACTCCATTAGCAAACCGTGCTATGAGAAGTTTTTCAAAGTCTCTTTTAATGCAACAGTATCCGTCACTAATGAAGATCACTCTCAACGTGATACTTTGGTCTGTTTGGTTAACATATTTTAGTCACTTTTCCACGGAGCATGGTGGGATCCATGAGCCAGATAAGAATTTGGAGTTTAAGGGTGATGGTGTGCCACAGATGACCCCGGTCTGACAGAACAAAGTGCTCTGGAATGGAAGGGCAGGTTCAGCTGCAAGCATGACCCCCACTAAGGCTGCTGAGTTCCTCGAACTCTCACCTCCATCCACCCCAACATGCTCTCCGACTGGAAGAGCACCCATTCATTTATAGATCAACTTTATGGAACCAATAAAGTAATTTATGTCTTAGCTGTCCCCTGGGTAAGCTATACTCTTTTGCATTAACAGCAAATGTCAACCTTTTTGTTCCTTCAAACGTGGCATTCCAGCCTGGCTCTTCCAACATATATTCCCTCCATGTTCATGAGGCAGAACTCTCTTCCTGACTCCCTTCCTCCGTCTACCCCTATCCTTTGCTCGTTCCCTAGTTCCGCAGTTCCAGTTCTGCTTCAGTTCAGTACCTTATGTTCTCAGGGCTCAGGAATCCAGCTACAAATGTCAGCCTATTCCTTAAGCACAGTTTTCTCTTGCAGGTTTAACCAAGCGAGGGCTCTGAAATGTCTGTTTTTCACTGCACTCTAATTTAAAAATTATTCATGACTTCATTTAATAGTGTCAATTTTGAATTCACCAGAGCAACATTCTTAGGCTTTTCATCCCTACGTTTTCTTATATTTAAGGTTTCTTACTTTTTTTTCCCTTTACTTTTTTATTTAGATTTAAGCCAGTGTCTTTGTGATATTTAGATGGGAACTGGTGGACAGAGAAAGGGGGCATAAGAACACTGTTAGAAAACTACCTGAACTCACCAGAAGAAGGGGAAATCATTCGATTTGCTGAGAGAATACAATTAAAATGCTCATCATAAGTCATTTCCAAAGCAGTTTGCTAGTGGTCTGGCTACTCATCAGTCTTTCTTTCCTTGACTGGGTGATACTCTGTATGACTTAGAAATGTCAGGAAGGTCGCTGAAAATTGAATCTCCTATATATATGGTAAACATTATCTTTCAGGATGATTTCCTTTCAATGGATGGCTTCAACATTGAAAAACACAGGTAACATATACACAATAGATGATTCATTGATATTACGTGACAATACACTAAAATACATTATCTTGTTTCTAAACTTTATGGCCAACCTTTATTTAAGAAAATGTCAGCCTCTAATTTAAAACACTCAAAGCACACCTCTTCCTAGTATTTCTGCCTTTAATGTCTTGAGTGATTTAGATGCAGAGTGTCCTCTAGAAGTCAACATTCTGTCAGAAGGCTGCTAAGAGATTTAGACAAAGCACAGAATGTACAATAATCACAAACGGTATTTTACCCAATGTGATGTGGTGTTTGACAGCATGAAGAGCACTTGTGCAAATGGTCTTATGTCATTCTAATTCACCATGAGAAGTTGAGTGTTATAATTTACATTTTATAGAAGGAAACCTAGGGTTTGGGCGAACTGGCCAAGTTTACAAGGCCCGTGAATCATATCTCCTGGTCTCAAATCCAGGTCACAAGGCCCTAAGCTGCGGGCTGTTTTTACTATGAAAAATTTTGGCAAACGTAATCTGCTAAAAAAACAAAAAAGAAAAAAATCTGGCCTGCTGCCTGTTACTCTACCACTTGTGAGCTTAAAGGGATTTTTACGTTTTTTAATTATTGGGGGAAAAAAAGAAAAGAAGAATATTTTGTGACATGTGAAAATCATCCTAAATTCACATTTTGGTGTCCACAAATAAAGTTTTATTGAAACACAGTCACAGCCATTTGTCTGTGTATTG